TGGTCGGCAACCTAGTTTTATCTTGTTTTTAAAGACTGCATGGTGAGGCCCCTCAGCGCGCGCGCGTGTGTGTGTGTGTGTGTGTGTGTGTGTGTGTGTCGGAGGCCAGGTAATGAGCTTTTTGACAGCTGTTGAAAAGCTTTGCTACTGCTCAGCACCTTTTAATGAAGGTGTCCTTCGTTCATGTCAACACCCAGACGAGCAGGAGTGTACACAGACACACACACACACAGACACACACCGACACACACCGACACACACACACACACACACACACACAAACAATCCTCTCTTCTCTCTCTCTTCCCTTTTCCACTTTGTCGACTGAAAGTGCACGTGTGACTGGTCCGTACTGTCACCCGTGCAGTCAGTGACCCCGACGACCTGTCACCTAAAAAAACTCACAGGTGACTCATCCGACCTTCAGAGGAGCCTCAGTTTTATGTGACCTGTGGAAAAGGTGTAGCTCACTGAGGAAGATGAACCAGAGGCCACACAAGCTGTGACGGAGATCCTCCGGAAAGACTGGTACAGAGAAGAGGAAGGAAATGAGCCTGTTGTGTAGGAGCTCGCAGCAGAAGCCTCAGAGAGATGGCAGGAAGACGTGGGCAGAGAGGCACTGAGAAGGAGCCTTGAAACATGTTGGCACGGCCGACCAGGGTGTGGTGCGTTCTTTTCCTCTTTCGTTCTCAGTTCTTCATGGAAACCTTTCGCTCTGCTGATGGTCACACAGTCGCCGCCCTCTGGTGCCGCAGCCCTGTGCTTACGGGGTGAGCAGCCAATGGGAGCCTCCCGGTGTGCCAGCGAGTCTTCCAGCCCACTTCACCATCCTCTCTCAATCTGCTCCCCTTCTGCCACTGTCTGCCCACTGCCCACCCCTCTTTTCACACCGAGCCCTCCTGTGTGCCCCTCGCACACTGTCTCCAAGTCTCGCACGCTCTTTCACTGCACACAGCATTCAACAAGAACACGCAAGCTTTACAGACTGTTTAATGAAGGTAGAGATGGAGACAAAGGCCTCACATGCCTGTGCTTGCAGAAAAGAGAGAGGAACACGGGCTCACGCTGACCCACAGACAATTTGTTTAAAGGCAGAGTAGGCAGCAATTTACTGAAAACAACAGAAAAAATCAATTATTTTAATCCATACAATATATTTCATGTATTTCTTTCATATTTATATTTATACAGTTCATATTGTCATAAATAATAAGGATATTGCTGTGTCGTAGCTGGATTGATAACAACCAACACTAGGTGGCAGGTTGGAGTAAGAATAAGATTTGCTTACATGACCTCATACTTAGAGAAAAGTGTCCATTGTTATAAACACATTTCTAAATAAAACCTTTGAGTTGGAGAAATGCAAGTATTTGTTTAAAAAACAAAACAAAGAGGAGCTGGAACAACGAGAGCAACACCAAAATATGGTTAGGGGTGTACAGCCCCACGGAAGATTTTTTTCTTTCCCACCCAGCTGTACTATATAGCTGTAGGTGATATCGTGTTGACTGGGCTTTTTTGAACTTAATAAATGGGACTTTCAAGAAAATTCACAGCACCACCTACAGGGGAGAAAGGAATGCTGTGTGTCAACAGACAGACATTAATACAAAACTACACTGGAGTTAATTGTTAAAATCACAACAAAAAAATAAATAAATCATAGTTCCCTTTCAAAGGACTAAGCGTCAGCGCTGCACCAGTACACCACCAGTGTGTGGCAGCAGAGAGTGGAGTCAGATATACACAAATAAACAGCTACAAATATAAGCCCCACCTGTGCCATGTGTTAATGTACATACACTGGGCCTCCCCACCCCCCCACACACGCACACTGCCTGTGCATTTGCTCTCACACATGCCAACTCTAGCCCCTCAGTGGAACACTGTTCCACTGTAGTGAAGATTCAATCGCTGAGAAGTCACGTAGGCAAAATCTGCAGCCCTATTGTGAAAGAATACTTGTTACTGTGCCAGAATGTCATATGCTGCTCACTTAAAAGGAGTGTGTTGCAACACAAAACATGAGCCACGTCATGTCATGTGTATGCAAACACACACACACACACAGTGTGTTCCTCTTACTCAGTTGTTTTCCATCCCCTATTGTATCTGTTGAATCTAAAGGGAAATCGATTGGCCCGTTTGACCTAACCTCAAATGAAATGTAATTGACCTCGTTGAAGTTGCCTTCTGCTGCGCAGATATCCCTCGCCATGTGCAGTTACGTTTCACTGCTAACGAGGTTGGAGAGAATGATGTGCTCCACATCCAGCTCAGGCCGAATCACTTAAGTGGAATGGAGGGGGAATTACTCGGTGGGCTGTGTGGACTAGCCTGTAGCTAGCGCTAGCTTGGAGCTCGTGAGTATTTATAGGAGTGTAGAGTACCAGCTGTAGTTTGGAGCCAACAGAGCACAGTATGTGTTTATGTGACCAGTGGATTAGGTCCTGTAAGTGCAGCCGAGCCCCTCGCTCACAGAGAGAGAGAGCATTGAGAGAAAGGATTAGGGAGTAAACTGATATTTAGCAGGAAATGAACAGTGGCTACTGATAACCCGGCCATCCCTCCTACTAGCCTCCTCCTCCTCTTCCTCCTCTTGTCTCAAACAGCAGCCACCCACCTTCGCAGCTCCTCTCATCTCCCGTGTCCGTCATCAGCTCACAGTCCTTGGCCCCGGCAGATTGTCATGTAAATGATGCCCGGGCCTCGGAGCACTGATAAGGAGGGCCTCTCCTTTCACAGAGCTCTGTTTTCTAAACAGTGATGAGCTGAGTTGAGGAGACCGAGGAAAGGTTGCCTGAGTAGGCTCCGTTACCGCGGCGCCCCAGGGTGAGTGGCGTGAGTGATTTGGATGGGGTTGGCTAAATGGAGTGAATGTTGGAGGAGGTGGCTGCAGGAGTCATGTTCTCTGGCACCAATCAGGTCCACAGTGTGACAGAGCCTGATGTGTTTGCTCTTCCTCTCACTGCTGGCCATTGTCTTGTCGACTGGCCCTCTCTCTCTCTCTCTCTATCTCTCTCTCTCTCCATTCAGTCCGTGTCCTCCGATGCTGGTTACTCGATGCTGCAAAAATGATCCGTCCTTTTTTTTGCGAAAAAAGGCCTGTCAGCGCTCAGTCTGGAGCCTCATTTGCTGCTGTTATTATTGCATAAACACTGAGGTTCATGGCACGTTCAGAGGGTTGTTGCTCTCCCGCTGACCCCTCTGTTTGGTTGCAAACTGGCCAAGGAGATATGAGGAGAGCATGCTGCAGAAACACTCAGCCGGCTGAAACTCCAGGTCTAAGATTGATTTGCACATTTGGCAGCGGCATCGCTCCTAAAAAATAATGGAAAACATCTTTGCCTCCAGCAGAGCAAGGCTTTCAAAGAAAAGAAATTTGAATGCGGATTCTGAAGAGTCAAATATAAAAATACATATGAAAAACAGATGTTAGATCAGCAGCAGCAACAAATGAAAAATGTCTAGCACACTGTATTGCTGTTACTATCATTAATGAGGCCGGAGCGAGCCAGCTGTAGCAGCGGTGATAGTGAGTGGTCAGTCAGCGTGGTCTTGAACAAGACCAGCAACTGTTGTCTCCTCTCCTCTCCTCTCCTCTCTTCTCCCTTCTGCCCCTTTCTCTGTTTTTTATCAAATTCCTCTTTTTATGCCCCTTCTTTTTTCTTCTTTTTGAAGTCTCCCCCTCTTGTAAAAGGCCAAGCTGGTGGTTTTCGCCTCCGTCTTGGGTGTGAGAGAGGGGAGGAGAGGAGGCTGTAGGTTAAGTTTAGGCTAGCGCTCTGTGCTTTCCATTGAAGGTGCTGGGGGGTTGTGGGGCAGTAAAAGTTAGAATTTTAGAGCCTCCCTGTTTTTTTATTTTATGATTGGCCTTTTTTACGGGCTGGGAGCTACAGCTGGTGGTGTGAATAGCTGCCCAAGGTGACCGAGTCCCAATAAAGTGCAGGCCAGCCGGGCTGGGGCCTCCAGTCCAGCCATGGGACCGCCTTTATAGGCTGCCTTACGAGCTTAGGCCTCTATTAAAACCTGGCAGGGCTGCACTGAGGAATTTAGGGCCAGGAAACAAGAGAAAAATAGGGTTTGTGTGTCAGGGGGTAGTCGGATGCCATTGGGGAGGGTGAAGTTTGAGGGCGACCAAGGGTGAGAGTTGAAAGAAGTGTTGTTGGTTGAAGGGGGGATAACATGTGTGTCTGTGTGCTTGTGCAGGCTAACATGTGTGACGGGGGTCTGCTTCTATGTGTGTGCGGCGGCTTATGTTTCTCTGGGGATGTATGGAATCCATACGCAGCACACTTGACCTCACAAAGGAGCCTATGTGGGTTTCACTTTGGACCATAGAGGAGTTTAACGCAGCAGAGTGAGAGTGGGACCGGAGGCCGCGCTGATGTCATCGCCGTGTTCCACTCTGGACGGCGGAGGGGAGTCTGACATGTGTCGGTGTGTGTGTGTGTCGGTGTGTGTGCGTGTCATTGTATTTTGATGTCAGTGTGTGGAATGAGGAAGAGCCTGCTTTGACACTTGGCTTCAACAGCTCAGTGTGTACCTGGCCTTATCACACAACCTGTCAGTCAGTGGCACTTTTGGTTTAACGCTGTAAAAATTCCTTGGCTCTGGGTTCAGACACGGTGCCTCCCTTTGTTTCTCTGTCTTCATGAAAAACAAGTGTCCCAAACATGAACCTGATTGCAGTCATTAGAAGTGCAATTAGCCAGAAGTTACACAGAGTTCATCTCCCGTCTTCATCTTTAATTTTTTTATTTTTTTTTGTATTTTGAATCAACATCAAACTCGGTCTTTCTTTCTCCATCTGTTGTGAATAGAAGCGTTTTTTTTAAACACACATATAAGATGTCAAGGGACCTGCTGTCAGCTGCCTGTCTTATCACTCATGAGAGCAGGTCAAACATGTCCTGGTCTGCTGATCCACTGACAGTGCACAGTAGCTGCATATTTGTCACATACTCACCGCGTCTGTGTCTGTGTCTTTGTCTTCACAGCCGTGGAGACCCAGAGCACCAGCTCAGAGGAGATGGTGCCCAGCTCTCCGTCTCCACCTCCACCGCCTCGTGTCTACAAACCCTGCTTCGTGTGCCAGGACAAGTCCTCGGGGTACCACTATGGGGTCAGCTCCTGTGAGGGCTGCAAGGTGAGGAGGCAGAGCTGCAGCCCTTCTTCATCTCTTTTACATCCATAAACAAAGGCAGGGTGATAAAAGTCGTCCGTCTGTGTTTTGTGAGAACTCTAATGCCCCATGGGTTACTGTTGGGGGCAAAATGATTGGCCCTGGTAAGAACATTGTAAACAAGGGTCAATTCTCTATCAGTTTGGGGGTCCTTATGTAAACATATAGGAAAGTGAAGGAAAGTGAACTACTTGTCACTGTGACACAGCTCACCACTGCACACGACCAAATGTGACCTCTGTTTTTAACCCATCACCAAAGTGAACAGTGGGCAGCTGTAAGGGCAGCAGTGTGTGGGCACGGTGCCTTGCTCACAGCACCTCAGTGGTAACTTGGCAGCTGGTGGACTCAAACCTGAAGCCTTCCGGACTCAAGTCCGCTTCCAAAATCCACTGCCCCCATGGTGGTGGCTGTACATACAAACATATTATTTATTTGCCAATATAGAGGTAGTATGTACAGAACTGCTGGATCAGAGGAAACACACCAACCTAAACTGGAGAAAACTATTCAGTTTCACATTTTTGATCATTTCTCTCGTTTGTCTCTGATTCTTTATTATCCAGGGATTTTTCCGCCGCAGCATCCAGAAGAACATGGTGTACACCTGCCACCGAGACAAAAACTGTCAGATCAACAAGGTCACACGCAACCGCTGTCAGTACTGCAGGCTGCAGAAGTGCTTCGAGGTCGGCATGTCGAAGGAAGGTGAGACCCCCGAGGACCCGAGGCTTTCTTACAAAACACGAGCGTGGAAAACTCACACACACAGTCGATGTTTTTAATTTCCTTTGGCTCCGATCTCATCTGATTTGGATGGAACCGTCCCATAAAAGATGTGACCTGATTCACACAGTGTGAAACTACTGAATCTAATAAAGCTCAGCGTGAGACTCTGGGAAACTATGCAGCAGAGAGACAGAAGCAGATGATGAGCCTGCCAGGGGTGGTGATCAGGGCGAGGCTGGGCACTGAACCAATCATATGACTAATCATTCGACGAATGATTCTCACTTCCTGTTTCACAACAAAAACCCTGTCCCTCTGGCATACACAAACACGCAGCTTACAGTTGTTAAAAAGCAAATGTTGGCCTCTGACAAAGACCTTTTTGTTCAACTCAAACACACAGTTGCATTCTGTATTTTTTCTTTCTGTTGAGTTTGCGTCGTGGAGGGGTGTGTCCGAGTGGCTGTCACTGTGCCTGTGGGACATGTACGTGGGTGTAATGTTTGTGTGGGATGTGTGTTACGACCGGGATCACATTGTGCCTCTGCTATTACTGGATATCCTGAGAGGAAGGAAAGTAGGGAAGGAGGAGGAAGAGGAGGAGGTGGGAGAGGAGGCAGGGAGGAGAGAGGGGAGGACTGGATTGTGTGCGCTGGTCAAGTGGATAGATAGATGGGCAAGGAAAGGCCTGAGTGATAAGGAGAAGATAGCCTGTGTCCATAAAGTGCAAAAGGAAATATGTTGAAACTGTTAAGATGAACCTTGGTAGCCTGTGAGGTCCAGCGGTGAACACGTCGTCCCTGACAGTGGTGACAAGACACTGAGCACATGAGTGCAGCGGATGTTTTTACACCGATCACAGATAGAGGAGCGGACCACTGTGTGGGGCTGATCTGTGGACATGCAATTGAAAAAAAAAAAAAAAAAGGGATTGGTGCTGAATCTCTGTGTCTCTGTTTGTCTTCACACAGCCGTGCGCAACGACAGGAACAAGAAGAAGAAGGACGTGAAGGAGGAGGTGGTGCTTCCTGAGAGCTACGAACTGAGCGGAGAGTTGGAGGAGTTGGTCAATAAAGTCAGCAAAGCCCACCAAGAGACGTGCCCCTCCCTCTGCCAGCTGGGCAAATACACCACCGTAAGTCACACGCTGAAGAAAATGGTTAGCGTTCATGCTAAGGACACAAGGTGTAAAGAAAAGTGGTTAGCATTCATGCTAAAGACACAAGGTGTAAAGAAAAGTGGTTAGCGTTCATGCTAAGCTCCTTAGCGTTCATGCTAAGCTTCTTAGCGTTCATGCTAAGGGACACAAGGTGAAAAAAGAGGTTAGCACTCCGGCCTTACACCAGCAACATCACAGGTATGCCGGTTACATGTTAAAATAAATCCAAGTTATGTAAAAATAATGGCTAGTGATAGCCTAGCAGCTACAGTTCACTGTTTCAGTCACCAATGTTTCTGTATGGTGTTTCATTCTCTGTGTACTTTGATTTTCTTGAATGTGAATGTGATCACTTTGCTCGATGACTGATGGGTTTTAAAAAGAGTTAACTGTAGAATAGTTTTTTAAATAAATACATTTTTAACTAGTGATAGCCAATATTTTTTTAAATAAATACATTTTTAAATCAGACAGGATTCTTTTTCAACCAACGAGGAAGTACGTTGATCCAGTAAATGCAAATAATGTCTTCTAAACTCGAAAACATCTTAAAAATTGGAGAAACCGAAATCAGTTCACTTTTACAAACTCACCACAATCTATGACTTATCAGAAACAGTGACCATGTAGTAGTTGATGTGTCACTGATCGTAAACTCTTCATGTTGCAACACACAAGCCACGCCTACAAACGTGTAATAAAGTTATTCCCTCATACTGTGTGTGGCAACTTTGTCCGAGGCGTCACTGAGAGCTCCCTAAGTTGCATGCAAAGACGTAAATTCACCGTAGCTTTCCCAACAGAGTGGTGGCTTAACTAATTCAGTTCCCCATTAAGCCATCTGTGTGGCCTCTGAATGATGGATGGTACATGTAAATGGATTTTTCTTCCCTGATTGATGTAAAATGTAAATGTGTTGCGAGGCCTGGCTGCATGCGATGCAAACAGAGCTGCAGTGAACAGTGGGTGTTTCTCTTTTGTCATTGTCTGCTGCAGAACTCCAGTGCAGAGCACCGTGTCCAGCTGGATCTGGGTCTGTGGGACAAGTTCAGTGAGCTGTCCACCAAGTGCATCATTAAGATTGTGGAATTTGCCAAACGGCTGCCAGGATTCACCACCCTCACCATCGCAGACCAGATCACTCTGCTGAAGTCGGCCTGTCTGGACATACTGGTGAGAAAGCCATTGTAAAACGTTCTTATTTCCCCCTCATTCACTTTGATTAATGTTTCAAAAGAACCGTTTATTCAGAGGTGCTGTAACACTGACATCCAGTGGTGAAAAATGGTAGTGTAGAAAAGTTAAACCCAACATTCCCGAGGAATTTGTTGTGAGAATAAAATGAAACACTGTACTGACACCTGCCAGAACACTTGAATCAATGTTTTGGTAAAACACTTTTTTTCCGACGGCTCACCGACATTTTCCTTTTGGTAAAACACTTGTAACTTTTTTCCGACGGCTCACCGACATTTTCATGCTACTGTGTGCACAGATGCTGAGGATCTGTACACGCTACACTCCAGAACAGGACACTATGACCTTCTCAGATGGTCTGACTCTGAACCGGACTCAGATGCACAACGCTGGGTTTGGACCGCTCACAGACCTGGTGTTTGCCTTTGCTGGTCAGCTTCTACCTTTGGAAATGGACGATACGGAAACTGGCCTCCTCAGTGCCATCTGCCTCATCTGTGGAGGTACTGCACGCGTGCAATTACACAGTTATGACCTGCTGGCATGAGAGTTAACGTAAAAAAAATAATATTTTTTTAAAGTTCACAAAGGGTTTATTTATGTAAAATATACTTATTATTGTTATTGTTATTATTATTACGATATTATATTTAAACAGAGCAACAGCAAGTTTCTTTTATTGCAGGGAGTCTTTATAAAACATCTATTTCCTGTTTCCTCCTCATTTAAAAAAAACATCTATTTCCTGTTTCCTCCTCAGATCGTATGGATCTAGAAGAACCCCAGAAAGTGGACAAACTCCAAGAACCTCTACTGGAGGCTCTGAAGATCTACGCCCGCCGCCGTCGCCCCAACAAACCTCACATGTTCCCCCGCATGCTGATGAAGATCACTGACCTCAGGGGAATCAGCACCAAAGGTCAGGACATGAAGGAATTTATAAAATCGTCCTTTTTTTTTATTATGACGTGAAATCATAACCGTCTTTTCGGCCGTGTGTCTCCAGGTGCAGAGAGAGCCATCACTCTGAAGATGGAGATCCCAGGTCCGATGCCGCCTCTGATCAGAGAGATGCTGGAGAACCCCGAGGCGTTCGAGGACCAAACAGAGTGCAACGACAGCCCGCCCCCACCTCCGCCTCCGCCACCTCCGCCGCCAGCTACAGTGAAGCAGGAAGCCGAGGACGAGGACGACAGCTGGGCTACGGAAAACGGCAGCGAGCCTTCACCGGAGGAGGAGGACGAGGACGACGATGATGACGTGGGAGACGAGGAGAGAGACAGGGGCTCGGACAGTGACGGGGAGTCCTGGGGGGCTCTGGATGCCATCGATGGGGCGAGGAAAGGCCTTTTTGGGAGGGCACAGTGAACACAGCATTTCATACACACAATCACGCACTCACACACACACGTTACACACACACACACACACACACTCAGCACAACCTCACTCACCTTGCCACCTCAAGAACATGCTGGCCTTCCCTCCTCCCCCCTCCTTCCTCCCCCTTCTGTCTCTATTTACTGCACATCACTGTGTCCTCAGCGGAGCACAGCAGAGCCTTATGTGTACAGACACTTATAACTCAGGCCACATGGTCCATGACGAGTGAACTACAGGAGGATAAAGGAGAGATGACAGTGAGGTGTATGAACTCCTGGTGGAGCGGAGGGGAGCGTTAATGTGATGAAAAGAACAGAACCTCTCTGAGAACGCGTTAACGTCTACTTTCTCTGCTTTTTTTTTTTTTTTTTTAGTTTCTTTGTCTTTTTCCAAAAGGGGGAACGGCCAAACCAGACACCAGAACTGAGCAGTTGATCGTGGTTGGGTTTTTTTTTTGTTTTTTTGTTATTGTTGTTTTGTTTTGTTTGTTTTTTTAAAGCACATTTCTCAGAAGCAAACAGGAATACAGGGCAAAACCAAATTAAGTATGCTAATCTTTTTGTTTTATTGTGTTAATCGTTTTCTTTTTTTTTTTTCCAATTTATGAATAAGTCCATACATATCTATATATGCCATTATATTTTGTCTTTATTTGTTATTCTGGTTTTATATATGAATCCTGTAGACATGTTGTGTTTTTTCCTTGAAGAGCTTTCCTGAGAAGATATTCAGAGGGAAAGATGGGTAATCAGAACTGGCTGGGTCTTCCTCATCAGCTGCCGACGCTTGGCCGGGGGCCTTTCTTTTCTTTTCTTTTCTTTTTTTGTTTTTTGGGCACTTTGGCTCACTGTGGACGTCAACGATAATCAACCTAGAGGACTATTGTTATGTTGCAGTAACTTTAATTGGTTTCTGTTATCAGGGAATTGGCTTCGTTCTATTTGTTTTTGCTCTTGTTGCAGCCAATGTTGACACAGACAATGCTGAAAGTTAGTATCTTTGTGCCAAAGTTAGAAGTCATGATCCGAGCAGGACTGGAGAAGACTACTGGCAGGAAGTCCAGCAGTGAGAGCTCACTCACACTCATGCACTAACACAGGGGTCTGCAACCTGCAACACCAGAGGAGACCATTCAAAAAAAAAAACAACAAAAAAAACAAATAAAAATCACAAGGAGTTGTATAAACAATTTTACAGAATGCTATCAAATGACAAAATAATAATTTTTTGTTATTAATTTACCTGTTATATGGTTATTAATTTACCTGTTACATCACAGGAAAAAAAAAACACATCACAAAAACCTCATATTCTAACCCCTCTTCCACTTCCTGCGCTGCTGCAAAAATATTTCATACCTGTTTCTCTTTAACGTTGACATATTGTTTTGTTAGCAACAAGCTAACTGAGGTGCAGCCAGTACAATTGGTTTAAATTTGATTTCCCATAATTCAGTGTCTGTAAATTTGAAGTTTATATTTTTTTTAATTTAAAAACCACAGTCACTAATATTAAAAACCTACAACGGGCGGAAGAGCCGCATTAGGCCCAGGAGCCACGGGTTGCAGACCTCTCACAAACACACCCCTGATCTCATGCACCGTACAGTTTAGGACAATATTATTACCATCCTTAACAACAGTTTGATTTTTTTATAGTAAACTCTGGGTGCCAAGACTTTCAAAGAATTTCAAGAATTTTTATAAAAAAAGGACCAATATTAACAAACGTGTGTCACTATAACCTCGACTCCCACCTTCCTGTTTGACTGTGGGGACAGTGTTCTTTGGGTTCAATGGCTCTCTATTCTGTCCCCAAATGTATTCCACACCTGCATGGTCAGAGATTTATCTCATTTGACCAAACAGTTTCCAGCAGGTGGCGACAGTCGTTGGAATGGCACCCTAAAAAAAAAACACCTTACATTGTATAAAAACACTTTTTTTAATTAGTTGCTTAAAAAAATATTTTTTAGATTTGCTAATAATTCTGCCCTCAACTGTACATCGATTTCTACAGTGAATATGTGAAAAACACTCCAGTCCACTCCTGTCACTCTGCCCTCAGCTGTACCAGATCTCCACCACGTTGAGTGTGCGACACCGAGACTCACACTTGATTGTAGTAAATGTAGCACTTTTGTGATCCAGTACTGGAGTACGGCACAACTCATCCACCGAGAGCAGAGTCACTGCGTCTCCATCAGTACTACATCTTCACGTTTGAATGCAATCCACCGCCAGCCATTGTCAGTGGCCTCATACACACACACACGTCCAGACACCTGTGTGAGCACATCCACACGTGGTAGCGACACGTGAGCACCCACACCATGATCAAAAACGTATGCAAGTAGGAAGCAGGAATCCTTATGGAGGACATCTAACAATCAGACTCAGGGCTTTTCAGTAAGGACCAAATCCTAGCTGCTTTCGTGCACGCTAGCAACAGGCAATATTTATGTGTGTACTGACTCCGTTTTGATCAGCTCCACCCTCCCACGTGTACATAGAAGGTAACAAGTCTGAAAGAAAAAAAAAACAAAACAGCACGGGTGCCAGCAGGACTGTCCCAGCAGGGTGGGGCAAATCATCCTCTTTGTGGACTCCCATCGCTGCCCCACCTGTGCCACCCGCTGGCGTTCAGGCCCCAAATCTACCTTCTCATCCCAAAAGCCATTATATCATCATTATGTCTCCTTGTGTATATTTTTACTTCTCTCTCCAGAGGAGGCGTGGAAGACTGTATGTTCTCATGTATTATGTCTACTATTGCCAAAACGTCTCAGCAGGCTGTGGGCTGATGGAGGTCAGCTGATGTACAGCACAGATTGGGTTTTTTTTTTCTTGGTCTCATTGAAGCAATATGAACTTCCTGTGTAGCAGGTCAAGGCCCCATTGTCAGGATATGGGCCGGTCTCCTCAGTTGGAGTCGTGTGAATGTGTGTTTCTTCTATGTGTGTGAATGCTGCATTCATGTTTTCACCTCTCGGTTTGGTGCTGTCGCAGAGCATCGTCTGTGCGATGACCTCATCCTCCATGTCTCTGCTGGGCTGTCAAGATATTGATGATGGTAACGCAGGCAGAATGTTGAGATTATGTTGTTTTGTTTTGATGATTATTTTTCTTCTCTTTTCAACATGGCCAAGGTGTTGTCTCCCCCTCTGTTTATGTCAACTCTTGTCATACAAAGAAAAGCCATATAAACAGTAAGAGGCACAATAAACTACTTTTGTGAGATAACTCGGCTGTTTGTTGTTGTTTTCATCCTACAATGCAGATATTCTGTGCGTCACATCTGAATGACTTTAGATGCACGATACCTGGACTCGACGTTAGAGGGAGCTCTTGCACCATGGCCACGACTGAAAAGAGCCGCTTCCTGCAGTAATGTTCATCCTGCAGGAAGGATGACACCGGGGTCCGGTGGGTCAGGGAGAGTTGTGGGTGCAGTGGCTCGTAAATCATAAACTGCCGCAGAACAAGGACATCAGATAAAAGTCTCTTCCTATGATTTGTTCGCCTGAGTGCAGGTGATGGTGTTAAAAGAAGCATCACAGTTACTCTCTCCTATACTTTTGTTTTATGGATACAGTGGTCGGTAAGTTTAAAATAAATCTTTTCATGTGTTTGTGAAGCTCGCCCGGGAAACACTAATGACACGTGACCACATTTACTGAAGGACGAGCGGAATTTTCTTCTGAAGTTATGGGTAAACTTGTTGGTTTGATGGCAGGGTTTTAGTGGTGTTTTGGTAGCAAACTATTTTTATTTTTAAAATGTTGAAATATTATGTAATTTCGTTTCAGGCAACTCGTCACTAAAGCTCGAAATATTGCAACTCCGTATACTGTGACACGTGACCATATTTAGTAAGGAACTAAATGAGACGTTACATCTGAATTAATGGTTAAAACTGTCTGTTTAGGACAGAAGTCGATTCCATTTTGGTAGGAAACTATTTTCTTTTGGTTTTAAAACATGTTTTTATTTTGTTAAATCATTACTGCAACTACAAATACTGGAAATACTTTCTTCAACAATATTTTTATTTGGGGTATTTTGTTGGTGCTAAACTAGCTTGCCCTAGTTTAGCACCAACAACAAAATAGGAATTACTTTTTTTTACAGTTTTGTACAGTTTTTTGCTTTTATTTTAGTTGTGTTTCTTCACCCTTTAGTCATCATGTCAATACATTTCCTCCTCTCCCTGTGTTTTTCATTTTGTCCTTTTGCCATTTTACTCCTCTCCACTCTCCTGTTCCTTTGCCCACTTTTTTACTTCAGCCCCAGACTCCCTAATCCTATTTTCTGTAGGAAATGCCTTTTTCCACTTTTATATCCCACTTCTATTGTCAGAAATGGAAAGTAAACCTACTTTATTGATGTTTTCATGAGTTTACACTTACCTTTTAGTATCAGTTGTTGTTTTTATGATCCGAGAAGGAGACTGTTTTTCTTGTGGCTTCACTCGGGCGGCCATTTTGGGTCGTGTGTCTGTGTTTTTGTGTCAGTCCACAGTGGAAAAAATTAAAAGCCTTTGGTTTCAAATAGAACAGAAGGTAATTCATTATCATATGTGCATAAATGGGAGGAGTAAAGTGAAGAAATATTCAAACACTACATTTTTTTGGTATTATTTAATATTATGATATTTTCTGCAAAATATGGCAGGTGCTAATGGGCTTAAAATGTTAATAAAGACAAACCAAAAGGTAATTAATGGTTTTTGTTTTAAATGTACATTTCCAGGTGGCTATTAGTTGCTAAGCAGATACACAAACCAACAGATACTTTCTGACCAACAGAACTCAGAAAGTCAAAGTCAACAACTCCCTCTCCAACCTCCGCTCCACCTCCACTGGCTCCCCCCAAGGCTGTGTTCTCTCATCTCTCCTCTTTATCCTCTACACCAACGACTGCAGAACCACACAGCCCAACTGCCACTTGGTTAAGTACGCTGACGACACCGTTCTTCTTTCACTCCTGTCCGGCCCCTCACAACACCACGGCCCAGCGTTACAGGAGTTCGTAGACTGGTGTGATAAAATACATACATATATGACTTGTTGCTCATAGGTGACTAGAAGTGTATGGTGGTGTGTTTTTCTTCTGCCTCTTTTTTTTTTCTTTTGCAAGAGATCAGGACATTCCTTGAAAAAAAGAAAAGTAATTAAGACCCGACCAGCAGGTGGCAGTAATGCAACTTACAGCCCAACTGCCACTTGGTTAAGTACGCTGACGACACCGTTCTTCTTTCACTCCTGTCCGGCCCCTCACAACACCACGGCCCAGCGTTACAGGAGTTCGTAGACTGGTGTGATAGTTCAAAACTGGAACTGAACGTCAACAAAACCAAGGATATGGTGGTGACCTTCTCCAACAAACGGAAGGTCCTGGCTGCTGCGCTTCCCACCATCATTCACGGGAAGGCGGTGGAGCTTACTGAGGAATACAAATACCTGGGCACCACCTTTGACAACCAGCTGAAATTCTCAGCCAACACTGAGGAGATTCTCAGCAAATGTCACCAGCGTCTCTACCTCCTCAGAAAACTCAACTCCTTCGAAGTCAGCAAAGACATCCTGCTGACTTTCTACTACTCCTTCTTGGAAAGCATCATGACTTTCTCCATAACCTGTTGGTTCGACTCAATTAGTTTAAAGAATAAGAACAGACTGCTGAGAATCACCTCAATTTGCACCAAAATCATTGGCCTACCTGTCAGAGATCTTACACTTATCCACAATCAACAAACTCTCAGACAAGCAGTCAAAATCATCAACGACCCTTCACACATCCTCCACCCAGCCTTTCAATGGCTCCCTTCCGGACGACGTCTACGCTGCCCCGCCTGCAGGACTGAGAGGCGGAAAGCCACCTTTGTCCCCAAAGCCGTC